CTGGGTCCGCTTGAGAAAATTGTTGAACAAGTAGAGGACAGTGACTGTGATTATGCCTATTACTGTAATTAAAACAATTAAAAAATCTGCAACTCTATGCCTAAAGCATTTTGTATTTTAAAAGGAAATAAAGATATCACTATTTCAGTGAAAATAATTTAATGAAACGTGAAATATTTTCTTTATACTCACCTACTTGGGTAAATTGAACTTCTATCATTATTTGTTTTTGTGGAGGAAGCAGTGTGTTTTGATTTGTTTCTTCCAAAGTAAATATTCTCTTTCGCCATCTGGTGGCTAAAGACAGCACTTTTCAAGTAGATGAAAGCACAACTGAAGCCAGATTTAACAGCCAATTATGTTTAATGCTTTCCGATTCATCTTACTGTAAAGATAAGCTTATTTTTAAACCAATGTAAACATAACTGAGGCAATTTCGTTCCAATGGTTCAGAGGATTTTATTCAAATACAGTGTGTAATACTTTATGCAAGATAAAAAATTAACTAGAGCAATTCTTTTAAAACAGAATTGGAAAATTAATTCATCTTTAAGGTTCAAATTAGAAATGGAACTAATAGTCTTTATACCTGAATGTTTTTGGCATAAAGAATTAAAAAAATATTCGTGAAAACAAGATGGTCCAAATCTAGTTTTAAATGGTAAGCTTAGAAGATATAATTTTAGAGGTTTCAGTATAGTTTTTGCTGATTTAACAGTAGTTTTGATTTTGATGAAAAGACACCAAGAAATAGGTAACTGAACACTACATCGTGAAAGATTTCCCTATATAAATTTTAATCAAATTTTTCAATGTATTTATTGTACAGGTTATATATACACATATTTCTTATCTCATAAAAAACTTACAATGACAATTAATTAATGCTTGATTTCTTTATTTTTCTCCAGAATATTTTAATATTGAAACCCAAGTTGAGAAAGGGAAAAACAGAGAAACATGAAGAGACAAACATTTCATTTAACTTATGGTACTGTGAGCAACCACTTTTGTAGGCAACACTTTTTTCTTTGTAGAAAAGAAATAAAAAACAAACAGCACCATTAAAGAATGCATGATCCCTGAATTCTAAACAAAACACTGTCTAAAAAATTTTTAAATGCTTGTTGCACTCAGTCACATTTAGTCAGGTATCAAAGCAAGCATAACAGTATTAAATTGTAGCAGTCTTACTGAATCAACTGCTCCCCCTTCTGAGAATTTTACACACCTTTTCAGAGTTTTTCCTGTGGGAATAATATATTCTTTGGTAGAGGACTGAAGGAGGGTTTTACTTTTCTGTATGCTGATATAAAATGTCTATGTACGTCCAGGGCCTTCGCCCCCAATCTGTGTTTATCATGCATGTTATGTTTGGGTTGATTTCACATTTTGCTGTTACACTATAGGAGTAATACTGCCTTTTAAAAAAGGCATTAAATGGCTAATGTCAAACAGATGTAAACATTCAGAATACTGACCAAAAAAAATACACATACATATTTTTTAAAGAAAGTACTAAAAATATGAATCAGATTAGGTTTCCATGAAGCAGGGGAAGAAATACAGCAGTACAAGAAAATTATGGCAACCAAGTAAAGCACTTTCTTTGAAACATTCATAACAGTACAAATACAACAGAGTTTTTCTACAGTCTAAATTATTCGGCAACTATCAAATATAGTACAAAGCGAAATAGTATGTGCTATAAAAAAAAGCAGCTCCTTTAAATTATAGTAAAAATGTTTTTTGTTTGCTTGACATTGACAAAGCATGACGACTGAAGACAACAAGATTTTTATATTCAGTGACATTTTGGCTACATAGGCCCCTGACAGTCTGATGAGTTCCTTTTCTAGGACTCTTCACATTGTTCTCTGGAAACAGATGGACAGTGACTCTGGGCTCTCTACATGTTCAGCGGGGTCATCATCCCCGCCGGGCAGCTAGTGTGATGCTGGCCTCCGCATCAGAGGCAACCCTAAGCTTGGCTTCATCTTCTGCCACCTGGCACTTCACCAGATTGAACAGGAGCTGGGAAACCGAGGCCACAGGAACTTCTTTTGAAATTGTGCGAGTGTTTGTAAATGCAGTGGGGTTGCAGCGTCATGAATTCTTACTCTTGACTGCTTTTTGAGGCACTGTATGCACCAGCCTGTTTCTTGTGTCTATCTTGAATGAGCAGGAGTATCCAAGGTCTAAAAGTCAACTAAACCTTATAGATCATGCCCCCCAATTCATACCACCACAAAGTCTTTATAGTCATCAGGCTCCGCCTCAAAGGTTTTGCTCTTGTTTCTTTTTCTTCTTCTTCAAACTAGACCTTAGCAGGGAAAAATGACCCGGTGTTCAGTTCACCAACATTTCTGCTATCCTCACTTTGGGGAAGAAAAAATAGTTTCATTGTAAAAAGGAATTTGCATCAGAACGTTCTTATTAACATGCCCATTGACTACCTAAATGTCTTTATACACCTCAGGCATATGCATATCATAGAGGAGGAGGGTGGGGGAGAGTTGGTAGAGCAGTTTTCTTCCTTCCCCTGATCCAAAAGTGCTACTTAGGGAAATACATCCTTTGTGATTAAAAAAAAAGTTACATGTGCATAGTCCTGATAGGGATCTTAGAGTGTTCAATTATCAGGATAATGCAACACCAAAATTTGCACACTATACAATTAACATGTAAATTCTTTTGCACCGAAAATCAGAAAACTAAGAACCTACTCATATAATCCAAATATACTGGCTTCTGGATAAATATTAAATGAAGACCTGTAAAATAGCTGGCTCGCTCTTCTGAATTTTTTTCACGTTTTAAATATGAATTTTTCAAATTGCCCAAAGATAATAATTTTTCAGTAATATTTACCATATACAGAAACAAGAAATTTTAAGTGGGGCAAAAAAAGAAATAGACCAACAGCACAGAAAAATTATGATCTTTGGACTTGGTTATGGAATCCATATCTAGTCAAAGACTGATTCTTCAAAACTATCATGTGAAAAATCAAAACATACAGAAGGACACTTCTTTATTCCCAGTAGGCAACTTGCAGGTTCCACCATGATGAAAGTGTTAATGGGCTCAATAGCACATCAGCCTCCACTCTACCTCATATACAGAGTATAAAGTTTCCGTAGACTCGAGTTTCTTTTAACATCATGTCAGTTACTGATGTGGTAGTTTTGAATCTGCTGGTGTAGACAGTATCTGACATTGGTAGAGTGGTAACTGAATTTTGAAGAAAGAGTTGGCATGCAAATATCTATCTTTTAGAGGTGCCTCTCTCTATGATCTCCCAAACCAAGATGAAATCAGAGCCAAGCAGACCAGAGAGACACCAAAGACCAAAGACGAAGACATCAAACACGACCTGGTGCAGAGTCAGTTAAGGATCCGCTGGGGCTTCTGCTGCATTCCAGGGGAAGGGCTGGGGAAGTGCATTGCTAATTTTCTCAGTCATTAATTTTAATGTCAAAAACAAGTGACAGCACTGAAGCACCAAATCAAGGCCACAGAAACAGGCCCTACTTTTCTTTCACTAGCTGCAGTTAGTTAAGAAAACTGAAGTCTCTTATCACTGAAAGAAATTTGGCAACATCACAACAATATATATATATGGAGAAAAAAACCCATATACCAATGGCTGACTACTATTAAAACAACCACGTTTGTTTTCCAGGAATGCAATTTCTGCTCATTCCAGTTAACTTTTAAGACGCATTTTAAGGGAATGTCAAAAGTGTACACTGGCTAAGATGATCGCATGTGAAAATATCTCTCATTCTTACCCTAGCAACTAATGAATTTTTCTCCATTAGAAAACTCTATAGCCACAATCAGTAGATGAATGGCACTCCATATCTTGTGCTCTGTGATCTGAAGTTGAACGGGCATGCCGTTTGTTGTCGTATAACTTCCCACTATATGCATGTGCTTTTGAACTTGCTGTAGGGAACTGAGCCTTCTGAACTATAGCTTTTCTGTGGCATGAGGATGGCCAAGGTATATAAAATACTCAGCACTTTTACTTCACTAAATAAATGCTGGCAATATTGGTAAGATGCAGTATCCCTTTTGGAAAAACTGCTCCTTTCCCCCAAAGATATATGTACTGAATTCACCTGGGGGTGGGGTGAAGGGGAGCATGCAATGTCTCAGACAATTTTTTCAGGAAGGTCTACTTCAGAGTGGATTATAATCATATAGGAAGTGAATCATGAGAAAAAAAAACCTTTAGAAAAATGTCAATGATTCTGCTTTCTGTAGTCCCCTTTATCATCAGTGACATTTTATGAAAGAGGCTGCCTACTTCTGCAATGTTGGGAGCCAGAATGAACTGGTGTCATCAGTAAAGGACAACGATTCATTCTCCCCACTCCAATTTTTGTATTTAGTCATTGTACTAGGATGAACAGACTGGACTAATATTTACATATTCAATGTATGTAGTTGGCATTCAAAACATTTTCTTTGCTTTTACTTTATAGGGTTTTTTTCAAAACTATCATGTGAAAAATCAAATATGCTTCAAGTGTTCTTAAAAGCTACAACTGAAGCTCCAAAATCTGGACCTATGGCTCTGCTGACAACTCATCTGACCATATCAGGTGTCAAAGGGCTCAAAGCACATACTGGGCACAAAGCCGACACTGTAGTTCTACAATAATGTGTGTGCAGTGTCCAAGACAGATCAAGATATTCTGCCAGTCTCTGAACAGAGTAGAATGGAGGAAAGAAAATATGGGACAGTGAGGTTCATTAATGGCATGCCTCCTTTTACTGGAACTTTTGTGATGAGGAAATACAAGCAATCACACACTTAAATCAGATTCTCCTTTGCAAACATGGTTTAATCACCATTGTGAGTCAGGTCCAGAAAAGTGAACTATGGAAACCTTTCCTGTAATGGTCAACCTATGAAACAATGCATGACCACACCCTGCATCACTTTTATGTTCTCTTTCTACACCTTCCTTTCTGACCACTCCTAGGTGAAAAAGTTCTTTTCTACACCTGGATGAACAAAAGGTGAATGGGTGTAGTTGATGTGTATAGACAAGGACACATGTCTCAAAGCTGGCAATGGTAACTTAATATGTAAGACATGCTGCTAAGCCACTCTGTTGGGGGTGCAAACTCCCCTTTCTGAGAAATGCAAGAAAAAAATAATACCCCAAAAGATAATCTGCTCCAAAGTAAAATAAATTAGCATGCTATAAACTACTGAGTTATTAAAAAAAATTGTTTTTGTAGTTGACACCACTTTGCCTTGTCCTGCTGAAAAGGGATACTGCATCTTGCATTCTGCTCTTATCGCACAACCAGACAAGCTACACATAGTTTTGAAGGACCTATGCAGTCGTCATGGCAGAAGGCCCCGCAGCCTTTGCACACAATCATGGCTTTCAGGCGGCAAGAGCATTTCAGTTCTAATTCATCTGCGTTGCTGCTGTCGGAGAAGTTCTGAACGGGCATCTGAGCATTCTGACCAGGCAGGCCCGTGGCAGGGCTGGAGCCACTTCCCAAAATCCCAATGGACTTTTCAATTGCAGATGCTGCCCTTTTGAAGCTTGTGCTACCAAAGTGTATTGTTGGATAATTTCCACAAAGCTGCTGTTGTTGCTGCACCTGCATTTTCTGAGCAGCTAATTGGGTAAAAGGCTTTTGTGGCTCAGAAAGCAAATAGGAAGAGAAATCTGCATTTTTTAGCGCAAACGCTTTTAACTGTTCTTTCATTTCATTCTGGTCATAGGAAACTTGTTTCATGCCCAGTTCACAGCTGCTGCTTAAACCTTCCTCAAAAGAAAGAGGTTCCGATTTTATATTGCTACATATGCCCGTGGACTGTGGCCAACTACGTCTCTTAGTGGTTTCCATGGCAACTGGCGCTTGTTTCTGATCGGATGGGACGTCTGCAGTAGGAAGAGGTGGAGGTAGTGGAGGTGGTGGTGGGGGTGGTGGGGGCAGAGCCAGGGGTGGAGGGGGTGGTGGGGGCGGGGGTGGGGGATGCACTAGTGCTTTGCTAGGCATAGTGTGTGCAGTCCCTCCCACGTCATCACCATCTTTAATGGGCATATTGGGGGACATCATGTTAGTGAGCCTTAGCTGGTGAGGTGCTGAAGAAAGGCCAACCTCTCCCAAGGCCTTTTGTTCAAGGTGCCTATTGAAGGCAAATGCATTACAGCCCACTGGGGTCTTGGCAGAGGCCTGCAACAAAGCTGCAGAAGGAATGGGGCCCCTGGCAGCCATGGGCATTTGGTAAAACTGCTGTCTATGAGAGGTGCCAGCGTCGGGGTGGAAGCCACCATTCTTGTCGATGTGATAAAGGTTCTGCTGAAAGCTACAGGAGGGGAGCAGTCGCTTCTGCTGTTTGACCTCCGGGCTGTGGACAATTCTGTTCTGCATGGCGTGCTTGCTCAGCCACTCCTGCTTAAATGGCTGGCTGTGCCCGAGCTGATTCAGGCCCGAGTTGATGACACCAGGCACCCCCTTGACATCTGGATCCACCAACAGTTTCCCTGGTTCACATTTAACTTGAGTGTGTTCCCCTACAGTCCTGGCGACCCTCTTTTTGGGGTGGTTTTCTCGCTTTCTCATTGGGAGTGGTGCCAGAGTCCCTGCCAAGTAGCCCTTGCCATCAGGATTTGGCGAGCTGGATGGCATTTCCACAATGTTCCTGTCTGGAGCCATTTTCCCTACTGAGGTAGTTTGAAGAGGCAGAGGCAGCCTGTTAATCTCGAGCTTGGCACCCAACCTGGGCTGTGGCAACACTTTTTCCAGAGGAAGGTTGCCCTGCAGCAACTGTGTCACCAGCGGATTGTTTGCCTCTACGGACGACAGGCGGCAGCTCGAGCTCCCGGTGCCGGGGACCCTCTTCAGGTTGTCTGCAGCCAAGGAAATCGTCTCTTCCATGGGACCAGAAGTGGATGCCTTCATGCTCTGTGTGGGCTGCACACTTGGGGCAGCTTCAGGGGCTGGAGGGGGCAGCTCAGGGCCAGGGAAGCCTTCAGTGTCCATTCTAAAGCCCTTGTCCACTTCATGAGGTTCTGATTTCACGGGGAGAGTGACATTTGCCAGGAGATTTCTGGGGTGAAGTTCCGCCATGTGCGAGTAACTGGTGTGCTCGGTCTTGATGGTCTTTGGGCAGCTTTGCTCTAGGTAATCTTTCTGCTTACTTGAACCTGATTGACTCCCGGGGGGCTGTTCTGTGTTCCTCAGCCCCTCCTCAGCCCAGCAAATCCGGTTTCCCGGAGCAAACTGATTGTTACAGGTTGTGTCTGCTTCACTTTTGAATGGGACTGGGCCCCGGACCTGCTCAGCAAAGCTACTGCCAGGCACAGTCACATCGTTGATTTGGTCTGGAACCATTAGGGGTCCTTCTCGAAGACCTGCACAGGGGGCCTGAGGAGTTTTGCACTCTTGCTTTGAGGCTGAGGCTATTAAGAAGTTAGAACTATGATCTCCAGCTTCGTTAGCCACTGGCTCAGGCCTGCTAATGACAGATACCTGAGGACATGTCATGGGTTGGACTGACGTTTCTGTTCTTACCAACCTGCTCTGGAGGTCGAGGCTGGCTTCTGCGCTTTCAATGGAGACGGTGAGGGATAAGGTGGAGGTGAGCGTGGTGCTGTGGTCGACGATGACTTTACATGGGATGGACCGGTTTATGGCTGTTGGTACGAAGGCTCCCGAAGGGGCTTGGGCTTTGCTGGAATCGGGCCTACTTCGAAGCCCTGAAGGTTTGTCCAAGTTTTCAGCACTTAACTTGGGAGAACTATCGTAAGAGTTGATTGTTAGCATGCTTCCAGTAAACATTGCCACGGGAGGGCGTGCAACCAGAGCATCTGTCACGGTGACGGAGTCCCTACCGCTGAGTGCTGCTCTCACAGTGGAGCCCCCGGGGCCTGGGGCCTGTTCCTCACTCCTGGGCACTGCCACATTTTCAGAAGGAAATCGGCTGTTGATGCCTGTTGGGGGAATCAAGACAGAGCTAGTGGAGAGGTGGTTTGGCAAGGTACTTGCAATGGAGGGCATTGGCACAGATGCGTACTGGCTGGAGACTAAGTTACTAGCACTACTGCTTGTTACCAGTAACTGCTTATCGTCAATGGAATTTGACACATTGGAGCCCTCTGTCGTGGTGGGAACTGATGAGTTCTCAATACATTTTGGTATCATGGCTATGCACGGAGTGTCAGTCCCCTGGATGGTTTTCAACATGCTTAGATTACAAGCAGAAATTGTGGTGTTTGCACTGTCAACAGACATTAGAACAGAGGATTTATCCACAGAACTCACAAAGGGATGTTCTTTAATTGCTCCTGACATAGCAGTGTTGCAAACAGACACAGGGACAGAATTTTTATTAAAAAGCATGGGCACACTGCTATTTTCAGAAGAGGTAGATGAAACAATTTTCTCAGCTAAATGAGACACGGGTATGTTTTCATCAGAGCTATGCACAGGTAAGTCAGAGGCAGTTTCTGGAAGTTTTGTCGGGTTAAGAGGCTGCTGCAATACACTGGTGGTCTCCCGGAGGTGTGCAGACTTGTTGCTAGGAGATCTGCAGTTTGGATTGACAATAATGACACCAGTTGAGCCTTCGATCTTTGTTTCAGGAGGAGAAGCTATCTCTAAGGCCAGTGGCCCTTCCTTAGAGCTGAGGGGAGCCAATCTGGACTCTTTAGTGTTCTGAAAGAGGTGGGCTCTGGCCTGATGCTTGGCAAAGAGCTTGGCCTTTGTCTGCTCTTTGATGTGTGCCAAGGTTCTTGCCTTTCCACCCTCTCCTGGGCTCCCAATGGCACTGGAGACAATGCTGGCTGCAGCAGCTACTGCTGCTGCTGCTGCTGCCTCTCGCTGAGCCCTTGCTTGCTGGGCTCTCGCCTTGATATCTGCGAGGGTCCTCGCTCCTGTGTTCCTTCCTCCACTGACCGAAGTGCTAGGGGATGCTCGCGACTCTGGTTTAGATGTGGGCTGGCTCTTGATAATAAATGGTGGTCCAATTTTGGACAGCTGGATCTATAGGAAAAAGAGAATGGAAGGAGAAAGCATTTCATACCTGAACACATGGAAAGAGGCATATGGGCGTGATAATGCAAATCTTTGGAAAGAGAAGTGGGATTCTCTCATACTATGGCTTAAATATCCTATATCCTGGGAAGGGCCTCCTTACTCAACAATAAATGCAGCATGGATGGGACAGCTAATATTTTTCTCAATTGAATCACCATGAGATATACAGCTACAAGGTTGTTTATGATTGGATTTGTTATACAATGTTCCAATACCCAATTACTTCACCAGTGTACATTTCCCACTACCACTGTCCCCAGTTTCCCCAGCTAAAATTTTTAAGATGTTCTTAATTCCCAGAAAGCATCAACCAGTGACTACGTTTAGCATGGAGACTAAGCATCTCTGCATGGCTCATATATAAATAGAAACAAAATTTGAGCTTCTTAAAATGAGGCTAGCTGAGAAGTCCCAGAGATAGCTTGCTTTTAGATTATTTTAAAAATGGGGACCTTGACTCTTAGGAGTCTATTGGTCTCATTTAGACTCCAAAAAAGCCCTGGCAATGGAGAACTGCATTCTCTGGACGCGAATTCTCTGACTTGACTCAGAGGAATTTTGTGATCCCAGAAAAATCCCCATGTGTTTGTTTCTCTAATAACCTCCCTGTGGCAGAAAGTATGGTTTTATGTACTCCCATACCACTTAGCATACTGCCTAATACACATATAGTAAGTACACAATTGGGTTTTTAAATCCAGTTGTAAAAGAATAATTTATTTTTGGCCTATTTTCATCACAAAAATGTTATAAAAAGGGGTGAGATGGTCTGTGAATGAGTGTTTTGCTTTCTGAAAAGATTTTTATTATTCTGTATTTATAAAAGTCAGGACAACTCTTGTTTTCTTCCTTTGAAAGAAAGTCTACAGTGACAGTCTTCTTATATAATGATAATCCATAACTTGATGAATTTTATAAGTATCTCAGTTCACACTGTTCAACCTACCCATTCCAGTAAGAGTCACCAAACTCATGACAGTTAAGACCTAACAACCAACATCCTGTCACAATTTCTATAACACTCTCAAGTTGCTAAGAATTTTCAAAGTCATTCAATTACAGCATCAGAGGCCCAGAAACTTAACAAGTTGGGGTGATACTTTTAAATATTATAGATGAAATTATCTACCTAAGTTAGCTCTACCCCATTTCAAATTGCTGTCACATGTCTCTTAAGCCAAAGGATTCAAAGAGAAGATGAGTTTACGAGAGAAAGTTATTTTTTCTTTAAAAATTTTGATTAAAAAGATTGAAATAATTGAAAAACAAGTTATATACTTAAGCAAGAGTTCAAGGTTAAATCAACAGCAACTATTACAGTATCTAGCTACTTACACGTAGGATACATGAATCAGGTAATATTGTAAAAGGCAAACTTGAATATAATTTATGCTATTCATATGTAATACATTTTATTTATTGCAAGATAATATAAGTAAACTGAGATAAAAGCATGAAATAAGTATGAATTATAGTGTATATTTCTTTTCTTAAAGTTTCTTTTTGAATTTACTTTAAATTTACTTAGGTAGAAAGATTTATATAAAAGGTTTATTTTCTGACACTGCAAATCTTGGATAAAAGGAAAACAGCAATGTTTGTGTATACAGTATTTTATTATTTTTTGAAATTAAACATGCTCTTCTTTACTAGCTTAGAAATTAAAGCCAAACAGAATTTGTATACCTAGCACTGTGGTGTTTTCCTGTAGGGTTCAAAGAGCAATTTCAGTGACCTATTCATTTTATGTTCAATGAGGTTCTACTATAAACCAGGTCCTCTCTGCTAACAAATAATAACAAATGTTCAGTGTATTTTGGAAAATGAATGGATAGCAAGCACCTTCCTCATCTTTTTAAAGCCTGCCTTTGACTTCTGATTTAGGCACAATGAACTTTTATGGGGCACTGAATTGTCTTGCAAACTCCCCTAAGATTTAAGTTTCTTTCCTATACTTTGAAATTTTCAAAAGATTGTTCTCTCCCTCCTCAATTCTCTTTAAATTTTGAGGTCTACATTTGAGTTCACTGCACTGTTTTAGAAAGGTTCACTTAATGCCAGATTTGGTACTAAGAGTCTTAGACAGTAAATTGCTAAACACCTAAAGGGAAGAAAGCCTGAATTATTTGAAAACTTAAATGGAAAAAGCTGATCTGTGGGGCTGCAGTTGCCTTTTTAGGTGTGCGTTTTTCATACTCTACCTTGAGAGGTGGAACTCTGGGTTCCTCTCTTGGAGGCAGTTCTTTCTCAGCTGGGCTGCTGGAGGATACGTTCCGGGTGGAGGGGTCATCTTCTATCCTGGCCCTCTTTTCCTTACAGATTCCAAAGCTATGCTGTTCTGCAGTTTTCCTCTTTGATATCTCCGATTCTCGACTTTCACTTCTTATGACATCAGGTGACTTGGAGGGCTCTAACAATTTGGAATTATGTGAGGCTTCCATTCGATTCTGTGAGCTCCCTTGCTTATGCGTTTTATTTCGAGAGCCCTCTAAAAGAGAAGCCTTATCCACTGGTGACACATATGGCTTGTCCTGTAATTTAGCTAATGGAAGTTCATTTCCCTTACTCTCTGTCTCCTCAGAGAAGACAGATAATTCCAAGGGTGAGGAAACCCCCTTTCTTTCTGTTCTTTGTAGAACATTATGACTTTTAACTTTGATCATTTCTGCTGATGGAAGTTCTGAAATGGAAGCTGGACAGGGTCTCTCAGCTTCAACCTGTAACTTACAAGACTGCTGGCTTGAAGTCTTACTGTGTAAGTCTCCAGATGGAAATGCTTCAGGAGCAGTGGAAGAAGAACCCATTTGGATGATTTCAGGAGCATTTGGCAGAATCTTCTGCTGAGAAAGAATGCTTTCCCCCAGGGGCTTGACAGAGACAGAAGCTTCCTCTTTCTGAGGGGAAGGTGGTTCTTCAGATATGGAAGGTGACTTTCTGGGTTGATGCACCATCCTTTCATTCATTGAAGAGTTAGAAATTGGAGATGTTTCTGCAGGAAGTGGCAAACTGGATACAAAAGTGGTTTCAGAAGTGAGAAGCATGGACGACACCGAAGAAGTTTCTGAGGTCAGTGGTAAATCAGACATGGGTGATGTTTCTGATGTTAAAGGTACATTGGATACAGGGGAAGCTTCGGATGTTAAGGGTAAATTGGACATCAGAGAAGCTTCTGATATTTCAGGTGAAGTGGATATTGGAGATACTTCTGACATCAAAGATGCATGGAGGTTTTCATCAGTGGGATTTCTCTGGTTATATTTTTCTGTTTTTTCCGTGCTGGACACCTCCGGACAAAATGTTGTTTCAAGAGAGGCTGGAGTGCAGGATTCTTCTGGAATGGACTGGATTTCTCCTCCTGGGGATGTCAGACTGGTACAGACTCCCTCTGGGCTCTGAGAAGAAAATGAGGCGTCTGAGATGCAAGCGTTTTCAGAAAGATGCTCATCGGGATCACTCTGAAGCTCCATATCAATGGCAATTGCTTCATTTGGAAAATGGTTTTCCAAAGACGATCCTGCTTTGACTTTTGGAGGATTGGTCTCTATTGCATTCTCTGACTCCTTTTGTTCTGTGTCACTAACGTGAGTTACAGATAAAGTAGAAGGAATGAGAGACTCACAGATTTCGAGCTGATCAATAACAACTGACATTTCCTCCTGGGGAGCTTCTGACTTCTCTTCCACCTTGACTTCAATATGAGGAAGAGTTTCTAAAACATCATTCATCATAACACAGGATTCCAAGTTATCTTCAGGAGGTGCTACCGCAGGCTCTTCATGAGAATTGGCTGGACTTTCCGATTCTTCAGAGAATTCGGTTACTGTCTTATGATTTTCATCCTGGCATTCACAGATACTAGTCTCTACTACTTCTGCAATTTCCTCTTGAATCACAGATTCTTCAGGGATCAAGATATCCTCTGATTCTGATTCTGCCATTGTATCTTTACCTCCATCAGCTGTAGAATACAGTGTAGCACAGAAATCAGGCTCTGAAGAAGTTAGATTCTTGGTGCATTTTGGCTGTTTCTCTTCCAAGGGCATCTCTGCAGAGAGCCCTGAAATGCCAGAGGTTCCACATGAAGAACTACTTTCTGCTCCATCATTGCTTGTTCCAGAAATGAGCTTTACTGATTCCTCTTTTGACATGCCCAATCTGAAATTAGAAATAGTAGAAATCACTGCTTAAGCACAAAACATGAAGTTCCATGTTAATACTTCTAAAGAGTATTCATTAGAAGTGCATTAAATTAATTTTATAACCACTCAGTAATTTTAGTTACATTTTTATACATTCTTAATTTATGTAAACTTGTTTAGGGTGACATAACAGTTCTACTGGTTTTGTAAATAAACTTTCCTCGTTAAGAAAGGTATACATTAAAACAAGAAAGGTCTACATTTCTATTCTATTGCATAATCAGGGTATAAGAAAATTATATACTACAAATGACAGATGACTAAAAAGAGCATAAACAAAGAATGTAAAATGCATTAAACATTGAATGAGAAGATAGAGAACCATACTTAAACTTGATTTGGTAGCTTCCAGAGAACGCATCATAAACAAATACTTAAAACCAGTGGATGATGGGTATGTTGTGAAGCCTTAAAATGATTTTAGTTAAGTTCTTTCAAATACTTTACTTTATCAAGAGTATCTCGCCCCCATGGCAAAGTCTGGCAAACTACCTGTGACATTCAATATGTCAAACACAGTAAAAAGTCTCACAATGTTACTGGGCCCGCTGGAGCAAATCAAGGAACAACAGGAGGACAGTGACAGTGACAGTGAAATGAATAAAAGAGGTATTACCCTACCCCTTCTTTTAGTATCAAAATGTCTACCTTAAGAAGATATGAACATTTCATTAAAGAATAACAAGACATATTTTTGTTAATAAAACTTTACAAAGTTTATTCTACCAGATCACATTTCTGTGAGGCAAGATTTGGAAATGTTTCTGGGAGATACTTTTATCCCTACTGGAACAGTTTTTTTTGGGGGGGGTAGACAGGGTTCACATGACCATACAGAACCTTGGAGGCACAGGGTAACAAGGGTAGAACCCATGGCCTCATGTGTGCAAAGCATGTGCTCAATCACTTGGTCCACATCTCCGATCCGCAGATCTCTTAGGGTGATGATATTCCATAAGAAAATAGTGGTCACAGGCATTGTGGAGGCAGGGAATCAAACCCAGGGTCTGAATATGCAAGGCATTCGGTCTTCCATTTTATGCACATCTCTGTTTCCTTATCCCAACTAAAAAATAGCTCTGTTTTTTCTGTTTTTATTTTTATTTTGTCTCCAATTAATTCTCTACCTAACAATCAAGTTGATTTTTCTAAAAATAAATGATCTCTTCCTTGAAGCTCCCTAATTCCCCACCGCCTTATAGATCATGTTCAAACTCTTGAATGTTACACACAAAATTTGCCATCTATTTCCTTGACTGCTGTCCCCATCCATCTCTGGCATCTCTAGTTCCTGACACCCTCCTTAAGACCTACCTATTTGGGCTGGAGAGATAAGCACAACAGATAGTTTGCATGACTTGCACATAGCTGACCTGGGTTCAATTCTCAGTACCACATATGTTCCCTGGAGTCCCAACAAATTGATTCCTGAATACAGAGACAGAACTATGTCCTGAGAACAGCTGGGTATGAGACCCAAACTAAAACAAAAGAACTATGTATCACATTTCTAATGCTAACCTTTAAAAACATTTTTTCAAATTTCATTTATTAAAGCAGCATGAGCTGCAAAGTTATTCATAGTCGAGTTTTTAACATACAATATTCAATCACCAATCCTACCACCAGTGTCAACTTTCCTCTACCAGTATTCCCAAGTTCCCTCTCCTGTCCCCACTTTGTATCTCAACCTGTCGTCTTGACACGCACCTTCTAAGTTTGGTTATTAAAGTTTGGGTCTCGTGATTTCATCATTGTTGATTGTAATTTGGATAGTTAGCTCTATCATTCCTTAACACCACCAGTCTACCTGGATCCTGTTGACCCTTGTCCCCATTCCTTCCCATCTATCTCTTCTCTCCTTCCCCTTCACTCTATTTCATTTTTTAAAAAATGTTTTATTTTTTAAAATTTTTTATTTATTTATTTTTTAATTTTTATTAGTGAGACATCACGAGGTACAGTTGTAGACTTACAAATTTTTGTGTTTGGGTTTCAATTATACAATGATCAAATACCCATCCCTCCACCAGTGCCCATTTCCCACCACCACGGATCCCAGTATCCCTCCCCCTCTCCTATCCCCCCCCCCCCCCGCCTCTGTGGCAGGGCATTCCCTTTTGTTCTTTCTCTCTTATTGGGTGTTGTGGTTTGCAAAAGAGGCAATGGGTGACAATCATATTTGGTCTATAGTCTACTTTCAGCATGCTCCTCCCATCCTGGGAGGATCCTCCCAACACCCTTTATTTGGTGTTCCTTTCTCTATCTGAGCTCCGTTTTCCCCTAGCATGTGTGGCTGGCCTCCAAGCCATGGTTCACTCTATTTCTTTCCTACTGCTGCAACAGGGTTAGAAGCAGAAAATGTGTTAAAAGAAATTTTTAATGTCAACCTTTAAACTGTTTCAGTCACATGAACAACTGACTTCCTTTCTCTCAATGGATCCTGCCTTCTTTCTTGTGATCTTGTTCCCATGCCTTTATTTCCTTACTTTCTTTTGTGTCAGCACATTTCCGATACATCCTTCCAGACCCAAAGCAATCATCTATTCATTCTAAACTTCTATGGCCAGTTCAGTACCCCCTGATTTTCCACAGCAAGTTATGCCTCTATTTCTCTTTCATTCCTTGAATTGCAATTTACTTTATTTCACTCTCCAGTTTTTAATTTGTATCTGGGATATATATATATACATATATATATATATACATATATAGATAAATTCATAAGAAGCATTTGTTCAATAAAAACATATTAAAGACCATAAAATTAAACCAGACTAATTTTCATGTCACCAAGCAAAGTCTAATAGAACTACTATAAACTATATTTTAAAATTAGATCTTAGACTCTGTAAAATATAGGAAAGGGAAATGGGAATAGGAGGAATAAACAGAAGGGTAATTTTGACAGTATGATGGCACTGCAACTTTGGGGGTGGGTGATGCTGTAATGCAGTACTCTCTAAATTATACAGCACTGTAAGCCATCGATAAATATATAAAATGTAACTAAAATGATAAAAAGACAAGCCATTATATCCTGTCATACTAACATTGCAAAATTAGTATCAGATAATAGAGAAATAAGCTGTTTTGAGGGTCAGAGAACTAGTATAGGGGCTAAAGTGTTTGCCTTGCCTGTGGTGACCCTGTTCAGTCCCTGCACCAGACATGGTGTTCAGTCCTCTGTGCATCAGTAGGAGTGATTACAGAGCATAGAGCCATGAGCAGTACCCCAGAATTGCCAGCTATGGCACAGCACCTCTATCTTTGAATAAATTACACCGTTTTGAATTATACTGTTCTGAATGTGCTTACATCATAGTATAGAAAATCACAAAAAGAAGCATAAGAAAGCTAATTTGAAAGGAAGAAATATTTTGAGTGAAAGTAATACTACTGTAATAATCTGCATGCAGGAAAAAAACAGTGAAATGTACTTTGATCTTTTCCCTTAAATCCTCAAAATGAAAGGGAAATAAAATTGGATAAACTTTTTGAGTAGTTGATCATTTTACTAAAATCCAGACTCTGAGAAGATATGCAATGACATTGCCTTATAATTAGACTCTTCTTTCAACTTTCCCCTAGATGAGTTCTAACTTCAGTTTACAATTATGCTATACTTAGAAGAACAAGAAAAAATACATTACAGATTAATTTACAGCAAAATAATAAAGCATAAATAAGGTTCTTAGGGGCTAGAACAAGCAGAACACCACTGGTACCTACAGATCGTACAGAATCTACCCACTGCCAGTCAGATTTCTGCTAGCTGGCTAATAACAATATTAAAGGTAAAGGTAAAGGCCCTCCCGTTGATCGTCGATTTGCTCGAGCGGGCCCAGTAACGTCTCCATTGGAGACTTTGTTGTTACTGTGTCTGGCATATCGAATACTCTCGGTAGCTTGCCGGGCTCTCCGAGAGGGGCGGAGGAATCGAACTCGGGTCGGCCATGTTGGCCGCTTGTAAGGCCAACGCCCTACCCGCTGTGCTATCGCTCCAGCCCAATAACAATATTATTGTATCTAATTTTATTAAATAGCATTTGTGTATTTTATCTATTCTAAAAAATAGTACTTTATAAAACATAGCTGTGCTATCACTCCTTTCATGGGAAAGCAGATTTAAGATGGCATAATGTACAGGCAGAAGATGTTCATAACATAACACTTACTGTGCAAAAGAAAACCCTACCCTCTGAAATCTTTGCTACAATTCAAAAGACCAACTCCTACAACTTCGATTTAGCATGTGTATGGGTTATTTCTAAGCACAACAAATACATATCTGTACTGTATTTCAAGTAGAACAAACCAAAAAGGTGATGGAAAGGTCTAAATGAAGGGCAGAAAACTAAGTCTAAGTCTAGCTGTAAGTCAGTTATAGTTAATTTGAAGATGTGTTTGGATGGCAATTTCTTGGTGAAACGTAAGATAATAAAATGGTACATGGACTTAGTCTGGACTGGAGCAATAGCACAGGGGTGTAGGGCATTTGCCTTGCATGTGGCGGACCCGGGTTCAATTCCTCTGTCCCTCTCGGAGAGCCTGGCAAGCTAATGATAGTATCCCACATGCACAGCAGAGCCTGACAAGCTTCCCATGGCATATTTGATATGCCAAAAACAGTAACAACAAGTCTCACAATCGAGACGTTTCTGGTGCCTGCTCGAGCAAATCGATGAACAACGGGAGGACAGTGCTACAGTGCTATGGATTTAGTCAGAAGAAGATGATCTGATGCTAAGAAAAAAGGAATTCCTCAGATTACTGGAGGTAATTTATAGATAACATAAGGGAAAGTCAATGAAATATCCAAAGTATATCTTTCATTCACATTTGCCATCAAAGGTAGAAGAGGAAATTAACAATAACAGTGATTTAAGAGAACCAAATCCATAAACTGCAGTAAGAAAAGTGTCAAGTGGAAGGACTGTTTTCAGAGGCTGGTGATAGTGACAGGCAGCTGTGTTCAGAAATAGTCAGGCTGCAGCCAGAGAGACAGTTCAACATGTTGCAGTGAATATTTCCCCTACAGGAGAACAGATCTGATCCCTGGCACCAGTGGGAGCAAGCTTGATGTAGAGAGTTGAAAGTAGTACATGGGAAATGCCTGGTACGGTCCAAATCAAAATAAAAGCCAACCAAACAACCTTGAATGTATGTATATGTGTGCAAGAATGTGTGTGATGGGGTCTGGAGAGGATATTTAACTGAAAAGGACATGCTGAATAAGATGCCACACAAGTTTAAAAACAGCACTGTGTATTCAAACTCTTACTATTCGCAGATGCTATGATACTATATGCAGAGAACCTTAAATCCTCTACCAAGAAACTCCTAGAAACAATGGACTTATACAGTAAAGTCGCAGGCTATAAAATCAACACCCAAAATTCCATGGCTTTCCTATATGCAAATAATGAGGCAGAGGAAAACGACATGAAAAAAGCAATCCCACTCATAATCAATGCCCCAGAAAATCAAGTACCTCATAATTAGCTTAACTAAAGAGGTAAAGGATCTGTACAAAGAAAACTACAAAACGCTACTCCAAGAAATAAAAGAGGACACAAAGAAATGGAAACATATCCCCTGCTTATGAATTGGGAGAATTAATGGCAATACTCCCTAAAGCATTGTACAGATTCAATGCAATCCCTATAAGGATACCCATGACATTCTTCAAAGAAATGGATCAAACACTCCTGAAATTCATATGGAACAACAACCCCCCACAAATAGCCAAAGCAATTCTTGGGAAAAAGAAGATAAGAGGCATCACCTCCCCAACTTCAAACTCTATTACAAAGCAGTAATAATTAAAACAGCATGGTACTGGAACAAAGGCAGAGCCTCAGACCAATGAAACAGGGTGGAATATCCTTACACACAACCCCAAATATATGAACATCTAATCTTTGACAAGGGAGCAAGAAATGTGAAGTGGAGTAAGGAAAACCTCCTTAATAAATGGTGATGGCATAACTGGACAACCACTTACAAAAAAAAAGGGCTTAGACCTCAACCTAACACCATGCACTAAAGTCAGGTCAAAATGGATTAAAGACCTCAATATCAGATCAGAATCCATAAGGTACACTGAAGACAAGGTTGGCAAAACCCTCCCTGGCATCGAAGCTCACAATATCTTCAAAGAAGACATGCCACTGGCCAAGCAAGTTAAAACAGAGATAAACAAATGGTACTATCTTAAACTAAGAAGCTTCTGGACCTCAAAGAAACAGTGACCATAATACAAAGACAATCTATAAAATGGGAAAGGATATTCACCCAATACCCAACTGATAAGGGGTTGATATCAAGGATATACAAGGCACTGGTTGAACTCCACAAGAAGAAAACATCCAACCCCATCAAAAAATGGGGTGATGAAATAAACAGAAACTTTCTCAAAGAAGAAATCCGAGCGGCTAAAAGGCACATGAGAAAATACTCTACATCACTAATCATCATGGAGATGCAGATCAAAACAACAATGAGATATCATTTCACACCACAGAGATTGGCCCACATTCAAAAGAACAAAAGCAACCGGTGTTGGTGTGGATGTGGGGAGAAAGGGACTCTCCTTTACTGCTGGTGGGAATGCTGACTGGTTCAGCGATTTTGGAAAACAGTATGGACGATTCTCAAGAAATTAGAAATTGAGCTCCTAGTTGACCCAGCAATACCACTCCTGGGAATATATCCCGGAGCAGCAAAACAGTACAGTTGAAATGACATCTGCACTTGTGTGTTTATTGCTGCACAGTTTACAATAGCCAAAATCTGGAAAAACCCAAGTGTCCAAGAACAGATGACCAGTTAAAAAAACTTTGGTACATCTACACAATGGAATACCATGCAGCTGTTAGAAAAGATGAAGTCATGAAATTTGCATACAAGTGGATCCACATGGAAGATGTCATGTTAAGTGAAATGAGTCAGAAAGAAAGGGACAGATTAGAAAGATTGCACTCATCTGGGGAATATAAAGTAACAGAATGGGAAACTAACACCTAAGAACAGCTGAGATAAGTACCGGAGGTCTGTTCCATGGCTTGGAAGCCAGCAGCACATGCTGGGGGGAAAAGCAGCTCAGATAAAGAAGGGAACACCAAGTAAAGGGTGTTTGGAGAATCCTCTCGGGATGGGAGATGCATGCTGAAAGTAGACTATAGACTGAACACGATGGCCACTCAATACCTCTATTGCAAACCACAATACCCTAAAGGATATAAGAGCAAAAGGGAATGCCCTGCCACAGAGGTGGGGTGGAGTGGAGGGGTTGGGGTGGGGATGGGTGGGGGGGTACTGGGATCATTGGTGGTGGGGAATGGGCACTGGTGGAGCGATAGGTACTCGTTCATTGTATAACTGAAACTCAAGCATGAAAGATTGTAAGTCTACGACTGTACCTCACGTTGTTTCACTAATCAAAACAAAACAAAAAAAAACCCAGCACTGTATAAACCTGGAAAAATGACTTACATTATTAAAATTAATAACAAAAGTTTCATTGTTCCTCAGGAGCCCCAAATTTTACGGGGCTGGCATTAGGCCACCCTCAGTAGTGCTCAATTTTTGGCTTTGTACATAGGGGTTACTCCTGGTGGTGCTCAGGGGACCATATGTAGTACTAGGCATGGAACCTGAGTTGGTAGAATACAACTATACCCAGCTCAGTATCTTATAAAAAACAGCAAATTTTTGTTGAGCATGCTGACTGGTCCAGCCTTTGGAAAACTGTATAGACATTCCTCAAAAAAAAAAGAAGTTGAGCTCCCACTTCACCCAGCAATACCACTTTTGGGAATATACACTGGAGTCCAAAAACACAGCATAAACACCATCCTCCCTATGTTCACTGCAGCACTACTTACAATAGCCAAAATCTGCAAACAACCTGAGTACCTGATAACAGACCAATGGATAAAGAAACTATGGCACATCTACACAATGTAATACTATGCAGGAAAAAATAAAGTCATGAAATTGCCCGTAAATGGATAGACATGGAGAATATCATGCTGAGTGAAATGAGTCAGGAGGAGAGAGACATATAGAATGACTACATTCATTTGTGGTATATTAAAAAAATATATAGCAGAAGACGGGGAGAGAAAACAGGCTAGATGGGCTGGCCAATGGTTGAAATTAATGACATAAGTGTGTGTGGGGTGGAGGTTAGGTGAGATAGAGAATGGACCAATATGACATTAATAGCTGGAAATGATCACGCTTGACAAGAACTGAGTGTTAGTATCTATATCACAAACCACAATGCCCAAAAAGAGGGAGCGGGAGAGGGAGAGAGGGGGAGAGAGAGAGAGAAAAAAAAAGAGAGAGAGAACTTCCATATAGGCAGGCTTGGAGGGGGCTGGGGAGTGATGGGAGGGGACCTGGGGACACTGGACACTGGTGCTGGGAAATGTACACCAGTGGAAAGGATGGGTTTTGGAACATTGTATGACTGAAACCTAATCATAAACAGCACTGTAAGGGTATATTTCATAGTGATTCAATAAAAAAAAAATCTTAAAAAAACAACAACAAAAAATCTCCACCAAACTTTAAACCCTATTGTACACCTGGAATTTAAAACTTCCTCCTATTAAAGAGGAAGAGATGTCAGGTGTCAGATTCGAAACACTTCCTTCTTTCTTAGGAATCTGATTGTCTATAAGAATCCAACTTTTTAATTTACCTTAATTGTCAATAGATTTTATTGCTTTTATATTATAATCTAGGTAACATTTTGACAGAAGTATTAACATTTATGGTCTTGATTAGACCCCTGCTCTAATCTAGTAATGTAGTATGTTTCTGTGAACAAAGATTAAAAGAGAAACTAACACTCAGTTTAGTTCAGTCATTACTGTACTGATGTGTGCCTAGTCAGTAAGAAATACACAAAGAAAAAATAAATTAAAAACAGGTCACATCTGAATGAGTAAGTAGATAGGAGTAAGGATAAAACTCCCAAGATATTCCCAAACCTAGGGCCAAACAAAACTATCGGCACACTCAACATTTTGTTCTAAGTGTGAGAAATAGGTGTCTAAAACTACTTATCTTTAAAATGTCCATTAATGAAAATACTTAAATAAAAACCACGAGATTTTTGTTAAAATGCTGGATAAAAAGCCAAAATTGACTTCCATAGTATTTCATATGCTTTTTCAGTCAGAAATGAATTTTCATGGACAAGTTATAAACCCCTGAAAATGCATTTTTTAAAATTTAAGTGCTGATATGCCACTATAATTTTACCTGCAATTTTTTACACTGAGGGACTATTGCCTTTTATCACAGGTTTATTAAGTTTTACAGCATATGAGTGTGCTATGTGAAGCAGAGAATTACATTTTCATTTCCTTCTAAAAGAAATGAGAAAAAAAATGCTCCAGGACTTACTTTTCTCCGTAAAACCTCTCAAAGAATTTTTCTTTCCAAGGTTCTGTTTTCTTTTCCTTCTCAATTTCTTGCCTTATCCGTAATTGCATTTCTGGAGTAAATTCTCCTAGAAAGAAAAAAATGCTTGTATATTGAATAAAAATGGTCATATTTTAGACAACTACTGAGAAAAATCTAATCAAGTTGAGTAAACTTTTATAGATGTTGAAAAGTAAAAATGTCAAGTGCTGATAATAGCCTACAGTTTCTCTTTTTATGAATATCCCCAAAATAGTCATTTAGTCATACAACAACTCTAAAATGCTTAGTAAATGTACTGAAAGTTATGTGCTATGCATGAAAGGTTGTATATTCACAATCTAGTGAAATCCTTTGGTGAGATGAAAGGCGCACAATTGGTCCCTGAGCACCTCCTGGGTGGCCTGGGTGGGCAGTTCCCCTGCAGTATAGGGCCCAAGCAGCAACACAAACATCTTTGGGTCACTGAATCCCCTGGCTAGTTCACTGAAAACTGGAAAGTGGCCAGGAGGAAGTGCCTTTACAGCCATAAGGAGCTCTGAAAAGGCACACAATTTACTATAATGTCAAATTCATTCTATTGGTCATCAGACATATATGGATAGAAAAAATGAAGAAGTGAGAACTCTTAATTCTGCCCAAATCCATTAGGAAAGATCAAATTTAAAATAACTGTTTCTTGAATGGAAGATGATAAAGCTTTTATAAAACATTTTAAGTCACAATAATTTAAATCCTTATGTGGGAATGGTCAATTGAGAACAATTGCTCAATGTATGTTTTACGGTGAGTTCTGAACTTCTCATGCAAAAGAAAAAAATAGATGATACCATTGTTACTCAATGAGGAGGAATATGGGCAATGATGCAGCTTAGAATTAGGGCATAGAAACTGGATGACTCGGGCTAGCATGCTATTGGATAAATTGGAAAAGAAATGGACATTCTACTCAGACCAACAGCAATGTTGAGAAAATCAATTCAGGCACAATTAACACTAGGTGGACCCGGGGACAGGAATGAGCAACAAAATTACTACAAAGTGAGGAATGATGTGACAAAGGTCATATTAATAAAAATAAAGCAGGTGAATAGAAGGTATTAGAGGAAAGATGGTGGACCGGAGAAGTAGTACAGAGGGTAGGGCATCTGCCCTTGTATGCAGCCGATCTGGGTTCGATCCTTGGCATCCCATATAGTCCCATCAGCACCACCAAGAGTAATTTCTGAGTGCAGAGCCAGGAGTAACCCCTGAGAATCTCTATGACCCAAAAACCAAAAATAAATAAATAAATAAATAAATAAATAAATAAATGGAAGATGGTGACTTTAATGTTGGCATTTTGTTTTGAGATATGACCTAGGAGCCAATAGCTGTATGCAATATAACGTTAATGGTCAGGAAAGGGGAGTTAGAGCTAGTTTAAATTTGAAGATAGGGGGTTTGAGCATATGGACCAAAGGTGAAACTAAGGTGGTGAGTGAGACTTCTTTAAAATGTGTGCTGTTATATACAGTTACAAATAAAAGTATCAGAGAAAATAATGGTGGCAACATCATTACCAGAGCTTCAAAAATAAGATGAGAAATGGATGTGAGGAATGTAGGCTCAAGAAGACATTTAAAAATGGGTATGTCTGGGAATATATGCCAGAGAGGCAAAAAAGTATAGTCGAAGTGACATCTGCACTTCTTTGTTCATTGCAGCACTGTTTACAATAGCCAGAATCTGGAAAAAACCTGAGTGCCCGAGAACAGATGACTGGTTAAAGAAACTTTGGTACACCTACACAATGGAGTACTATGTAGCTATTAGAAAAGATGAAGTCATGAAATTTACATACAAGTGGTACTACATGGAAACTATCATGCTAAGTGAAATGAGTCAGAAAGAGAGGGACAGACAGAAAGATTACATTTATTTGGGGAACATAATGTAACAAAATAGGAGACTAACACCTAAGAATAGCTGAGATAAATACCAGGAGGTTCACTCCATGGCTTTGAGGCCAGCCTCACATGCTAGCAGAAAAGGCAGCTCAGACAGAGAAGGGAGCACCAAATAAAGGGTGTTGGAAGGATCCTCCCAGGATGGGAGAAGCATGCTGAAAATAGACTATAGACCAAACATAATTGCCACTCATTGCCGCTTTTGCAAACCACAACACCCAATAAGAGAGAGAGAACAAAAGGGAATCCCATGCCACAGAGACAGGGTGGGATGGGGGATGGGGGGTGGAAGGGGTACTGGGATCAGTGGTGGTGGAAAATGGGCACTGATGGAGGGATGGGTACTCGATCATTGTATAATTGAAACCCAAGCACAAAAATTTGTAAATCTACAACTGTACCTCAAGGTGTTTCACTAATAAAAAAAGACAAAAAATAAAATCAGAAAAAAAATAAATTCTTAATCATATGTAATAACTTGTCATTTTTAGCTGAAAATTTACGTTCTATTATGTAAGTACAGCTATACTTGTCTTTTTAGTTACTTTTTGTTTGTAGGATTTCTGATTTTTCAATTTTGAGCCTGCATTATCTTAAAAGCTAAAATGTATTTTATTTAAGCAGAAAAGATTGGGATTTTATGTTTTGATATATTCTGCTACTCTGTCCCCCTTAATTTGTAAACTAAGGTTATTAATATTTAGTGTAATTATTCAAATATAAGTACTGATTCTTTAAAAAAATAAATAAAAATGGAAATGTTTAGGAGATGGTTAATAACTGAATGGAAGCAAAAGCAAATGGAATATAGTAGTGTAAGCCATGAAGTATAATGATTGAGGAAACATGTATTTGCCCTTTAAAAAGCGTCATTCCTATCTAGCAGTGATCATTTCAATTCCATACAGTGGGGCAACAAAAATAAAATAATTTGAGGGAGTAAAGATGATGTTGAGTATTTTTAAGGTATTTTAAAAAGCTTGATGACTAAAGGAAAAATAAAGTGAAATGTGGCTTCTGGGGAAGAAAATCTTAAAGATTCTTTAGGATCCAAGATACTAATAGAACATATTGCCTAACACAGTATTATTAAAATTACCAACCCAAAGATAATCTTTCAGACAGAAAACTTGAAATGATCAATCCACAGATAATACTGCTATATGAACAATTTTATTTTTTGGGTTTGGGGGCCACACCTAGCTGTGCTCAGGCCTTATTCCTGGCTCTGTGCACAGGGATCATTCCTGAGAGGCTTGGGGAACCCTATGGGGGCTGGACTGAACCTGGGCTGGCCATGTGCAAGGCAAATGCCCTACCTGATGTATCATCACTCCAGTACCCTGTATCAACAATTTGTATGTCCCAGATAATGTCATGCTTTCCTTAGAAGTATCAGTTATATAATATGACAATCAAAGAATTAGTAAAGTCATTTGGAATAGGATGAGTTTTTTTAATATTAAAATGTACTTCAGAAACATTCAAGACTTGGAAATCAGAGAGGGAGCAAAGTTCCATTCAGAATGGATACTAACACGTGTCAAATCACAACGGAAAACAGAAACTTACCTTCTGCCAACCGCTGTTTCCAGCCTTGTGCTGCATATGCAAAAAACTCATTATTTAGAGCTGAAGTACTGAGGCGTAAAATTCCATCACTTCCCATCTAGGAAATAAGCCATAAAACAAGATTCCATCAAGCATAATTCAAAGCAAAAGCATAAAAGAAGTGAAAACAGAGTCATGTGTGAGTGTGTGTGTGTGTGTGTGTGTGTGTGTGTGTGTGTGTGTGTCAGAGAGAGAGAGAAAAGAAAAAAGTGCGGGGTAGGAAAAACAGAATAAAGGAAGTCAATGAAAGGATTCTCCTTAGGTATTAAACTGCATTCTTTACCATTACTAGTGTAATTACAAAATGTATTAATTTTTATTAACAATTTCCATTATTGTGGTTGGTATACAAAATGTGTCTTAATAAACATTTTTGTAGCATTTGTATTTATTATTTCTTAAACGGTACCAGATTAACCTGTTTACACCTTTACATTTTTTAATTAAATTTTCCAAAGTTGTAAAATTTAAAGGAAGTAGTCTAATTATTTGCATTTTTTTCTCTGCTGTTTAAGCAACAAAACATTCTGCAGTATATTACATTCTGCAGTATATCACTATGCCATCCATATCCCTCCTACTTGTCTCCTCTCTTAGGTATACTCAAAAATTTGTACACAGCAGAGTTTAAGATATGTACATCTATATGGTGCTAATACTTATCTTTTCCATAAACATAGCACTTTAGCACTGTCCTCCCATTGTTCATTGATTTGCTTGAGCGGGCATCAGTAACGTCTCCATTGTGAGACTTGTTGTTACTGTGTTTGGCATATCAATACGGCACGGGAAGCTTGCCAGGCTTTGCCATGTGGGCAAGATACTCTCGGTAGCTTGCCGGGCTCTCTGAGAGGGAAGGAGGAATCAAACCTGGGTTGGCCACATGCAAGGCAAACACCCTACCCACTGTGTTACAATTATTAAATCAATGTAGAGAAAAAATTAAGATTAATGTCATCCAACTGAAAGCTTTTAACTTCACAGATGTTTACTGTAGCTCCCATGCATGTGCACTCTGCTTGCTGCCATGGGGGCAGATGACACAGGGAAGCAGACCTTTGCCCTTGCCTGGCTCCCTGTGTAGTTGAGGAATGAAGATGAGACACATAAAAAGCTAAATACTGGCAAGCATTAGGTGTGCATAAAGTGAAATGTAGGGAAGACTGTCTAGGAAGACAGGGGTAAAGATGACCTTGGCGCCGGGGTCTGGAAAGACTGACAGGAACTGGACAAAATAGTCTCAGAGAAAAAAAGCATGTAGTAAACCCTCAGAGTATGAGCTTTTGACTCAGAACTGGATAATTTATGTAGATGTGATGATATCTTATACTGTGAAAATATACTTAGAAAAATGTCACTCCAGCTACATTGGAAAAGATTTCCTCTGATTCCCATTGGCATAATTCACACTGTTACCTGAATGCACACTCAGAAATTTATTATGTTTTTGTCTGTAGTCTTCTCTACATTCTCTCTTCATCTGCTGAAACACTATTCTTTTAAAATTTAAACTCAATGCTTTCACAAATGTGGAAGAGACGCCATCACTGAGGAGCAAATGGAAACACCGAATCTATAAGTAAATACACTACGATGTACTAGATAATGGGCAGAGAAATCAAGAAAAGAAAGATATTCTGAACAAATGTGAGATACAACAAATACTGGCATCTATAGAGAAGTCACCAATTTGAAAGCCTTAGTCTCTTCATTCAAGAAACCATAATAAACCACACTAAAATATTCGATATACTTGGAACATCTGAAGAAAGGCCAGATTCATTTAGTGATTCATTATGGACTAACTCGGATATTTTATCTTTATTCAACAGATATTTATTAAGCTATTCACATAAATCTATGGGCACTGCACTTGTGTGGATGGTGGTAATATAGTGACAATAAAAGTTACTACTTTTATATTATGAATATGTCCTATACATAAACCATGGTCCTGATTTATTTCTTATTATTGCCTATCTGACTTCAGAACAGCTGCAATGTACAGTTACATCAACATTCCAGTGTACTACTCCAGAGAGGCACCATGGTCCCGGATTGAGTGGATAAAGGTCCCAGCCTCTTTTTAACCTATTCTTTGACCACTGCAGATGATTCTCTGCAATATAGTATATATAACGAGTCAGTGGATGAAACTTGGTGCAATATCTTCAATAGTTAGTACAATAAAAAATGAATGAATTATATTACACAGCAATTCTAAGGAACTATTACTAGACTATGTCTTTCCTGAGTCCAAAGCTCCAGATTAGGTGGGATTAATAGTTCAAGTTTGCAGGATGAATCACTGCTACCCAGGTTACGATTTCTTCATGGCAATATTATTACTTATGTCCAGTCTGTACTGTGGGAGGATGTTCTGAGTATTGTTATATGTGTAGCAGAATACCTGGCCTCTATCCACTAGATGCAAATAGCAAATCTTTCAAAAGTTATACTTGATTCAAATATTACCAAATGTCCCTTTGAGGCAAAATCATTCTCAGTTGAGATCTACTGCACAGAGGGCAAAGACTCTATTTTGCTAAAGCTTCATCTGGTTCTTTGCACCTCTCATTCTGGCGGATGGACCAGCATGCAAAGAGCAGTGTTATCGGACGTGCCAGATTTGATGCTACTCACCAGAGAAGCAGGATTGTTGCTATAGAGGGAAGAGAGAATGTTTGACATGTGAGGGACTTACTGGCACCTCATTGGTGCTTCTGCTGTGTGGTAATCGTGAACATGGATTATGCAAGAACAGCTGACAGCTGAAGGGAGCCAATGGGCATTTCAGCAGGCAAATGAGCAGAATTTCATAAGGGTGAGGAAGGTACAAACGGGTGCTTCTACTTTCTGGAGAGATGAAGAGAGAGGATAAACCTGCCACTGTCTTAAGACCAGCTTGAGGCCAGTGGTAGCTGCCAATTGGCATTTTATGTATTTACCACCATTTTTAACATGTGCTACAATGAGAAAAAATGGGTAGCACTATTTCAGGGTGGAGAGGACTACTGCCTTCATCTGGGGCTGGGGAGACAGCACAGTGGGTAAGACACATGCCTTGTTCAATGCCTGCCACCCCAGATGGTTCGTCAAGCCTCCCAGGAGTGATTCCTGAGCACAGAACAGAAGGAAGTCCTGCGCATGGCAAGGTGCCTCCCCCCACCCCTCAGGTGGGGTGACTAAAAGGTGACTTCATTAGCAACTAAAAGCATGCATGAAGAGGAAAAACAGATACACAGACATCACTGGAAGATAAGGAACACTTCCACTGACAATGATAAAAAAAAAGGAAAATAAATCTGAAGATGACAGAGGAGTCAAGACTGAAAGAGTATTTCAGGAAATGCTACAAAGAACAGTTCTCAGGATCATTCCTGCAAAGGGGTGGGTAAAGAGAGTCCATCAGAAGAGAGGGCTCTCAGGAGTGTGGATTTCCTGTGAATACTGACTATCCATTCTATAGCATTAGAAGTCTAGAGAAAAAAAATCAAGACTATTTCAGAAGACTAGAAGAAAGAGACAGTCTTATTACATGGCTTTCACTATGGACAATAGGTAAAAGGCAACCTCCCAGAAAAGGTAAAGATATTTCTTTCCTGCAGGGTACACTGTTGAAGACATTATTAAAAAGAAAAAAAAAAAGGTGTTGGGAGAATCCTCCCAGGATGGGAGAAGCATGCTGAAAGTAGACTATAGACCAAACATGATTGCCACTCAATGCCTCTTTTGCAAACCACAACACCCAAAAGGAGAAACAGAACAAAGGGGAATGCCCTGCCACAGAGGCAGGGTGGGATGGGGGGATGGAGGGTGGGAGGGATACTGGGATCCATGGTGGTGGAAAATGGGCACTGGTGGAGGGATGGGTATTTGATCATTGTATAATTGAAACCCATGGTCACAGTCCTCCCCTTGTTCATCAATTTGCTCGAGCGGGCCCAGTAACATCTCTATCATGAGACTTGTTGTTATTCTGTTTTGGCATATTGAATACATCACGGGTAGCTTGCCAGGCTCTGCCGTGCGGGCGAGATACTCTTGGTAGCTTGCTGGGCTCTCCGAGAGGGGTGGAGGAATCGAACTCAGGTCAGCCATGTTGGCCACTTGTAAGGCAAACGCCCTACCGCTATGCTATCGCTCCAAGCACAAAATCTGTAAGTCTACAACTGTACCTCATGGTGTCTCACTAATAAACATTTAAAAAATAAATAAATAAATAAATAAATAAAAAGGTTAATTTTTCTAGATTTGAGGATATGGATGTCACTTTAATAATCTTTTGTAGAATGTGCAATGAGTAGTACATTTCAGGTAATAAGTAAACGATTATTGCATTGCCCTCATGTGATATAATGAAAAATAGGAAATTTGACTCAAGGGTCAGGGAGATAGCTTGGAGTACAAGCTTTGCCAGATTTTGATCCCCAGAACTGCACACCCCCTGCCACTTCTCTCAGGTGCTGCCCTGAAAGCTCTAGAACACTGCTACAGGTGGCGCTGGTGACCCCAGCACCCCATTTTTATGCCAGGCATTGAGCTACAGCGTCAGGTGGGCTGAGTATCATCAAGTGCACCCTGGTGCCCCTGAGCACTGCTTGGGAGCAACCCACCACCATCATATACTGAAAATTTAACTCTAGTAGCTGATACACTAGGATTTTAGTTTCTTGTATTCTTCCAGGCCAGGGGCATAATTACTTACTAATTTTATGACACAAAGAAATAACAGATTCAGAGTAACCCTGACAGAGTATGAAGATTTCAATGCATGAAAAGGCAAGGCAGTGTAAAATAAACACAGTCAAGAATATGGAAGCTAGCCCTGGAGGAAAATGTTTTTCTTTTAAAACAGAAAAAAAAATATATTCACTGCCAGATTTCTAGCCTGTCTGAGACAGCACAATTAAACATTCGGGCTAAATTAGACTTAGGAATTACGTGCCAATAAAACTTTTAAAATACACTATTAATTTTATGGCCTTTAAGAAATACTGTCCAAAAGACATAACATTTTAATGAGCTGGAACAATAAACATTTCTGAAAGGTTTATT